AGGGCTCTGTAGTGTAGCTATCAACTGATAAGTGCTAAACAATACTTGGCGGCGGGAAGGGATCAGAGTGAGTGTTAAATAGTGAGTGAGTGATATGAAACAGCTGTGTGCAATCAGTGCTGTGTGCAATCAGTGAAACAGCTGTGTGCAATCAGTGCAATGAATGATGGGATATGTAGTCCGGGGTGATATGCAACAGTGTGTAGTGCGAGAGTCAATGAAAATGGAAGGGTGACCTCTGATGGCTAGCAGACGGAAGTTCATGGACCGGATACGTAACAACTGGACACTCATGGTCTGTTTCTTTCCATCTCATCCTTCTATAAACTGTAAGTGATATAAATTCAGAGCAAGATTAAATAATATTCATTTTACAGGTGATTTATCCTAAAGAATGGAGGATTCTATACCTAAATTCTCTTGGTGAAAACCATCAAAAAATAGCTCACTGTAAAAAGGTTGTAAGGTCAGAACAAAAATATGCCCTTCATGTCCTCATTTATTAATTGTTTGTCTGATTTTTATTAACATTTGAAATACTTCTGAACCCAACAAAGCAATTTTATGGCCACGAAGGGAATTGCTGGGAAGTGGCAATGTGGTACTTTACCACACAGCTTCCAGCAGGATGGCACTTAATGTGGGATTTTTGTATGCAAAGTAGGTGTTTTTTAACTGCCCATGCACTTACTAATTAAAAGTGTTAAAGTATTGAGGGTTTAATGAGTTCTTTTTGTAGTTTGCAGAAGCAATTCTAACAGGCGGCAGTTTGGAGTTTGGAAACACAGCTGCCAATGTTGACATGTTTCGCAAAGAAATGGGCCTGCGTCTGCTACAAGAAAGTGGTATGCATGTATGTATGCATGTATTCGCATCCTGTGTATCTTGTGTGGATGGATATTTGCCCCCACATGCCAAGCATAAGTCTGAAAGGTCATCTATGGAAATAAAAGCATCAACATAATGCACTTAATATTGATGAAACAAATGATGTGTCAGTTGTGTATGTATATATATATATATATATATATATATATATATATACAGGGTTTGAAATTAACTTTTTCACTCACCAGCCAATTTGGCTACTAAATTTTTAAGTTACCGGCCATTCATAATTTCTACTAGCCAAAAAAATTAAACAAATAAATAATGAAAAA